GAAGGCTTGTGTATTTTGTTCCGCGGTAGCTGTATGTTAAACTGATCATGCACAACCAAGGAGATATCGAATCCATTACTGCATTATACTGTATCATTGATCAAATACACTTTGGCTGCAGAAACTTTTGGATAATTTTATGCTATTGATGTACGATGTGATACGCATTTCCTCGGTTCTCTGCTGCGGAGATCTCATGACCGCTAGCTGCTTGCGTCTACTAGCCAGCAGCTTATACTACCGCAACATGGGGCACGGTTGTAGATAGTCACAACATATAAGGGAAGTGGCATACAATGCGACCTATCCTCCCATTTCTTATAATTTACTACCATTGCTCAGTACTAATCAAAAATTCACCCTCACAGTCATTAAATGTTGTGTGCATAAGGCTGCTGTTTAGTCGAAACCGGGACAACTGTGAGACAGCTACTGCCCACCGCAATCGTAATAAAATTTGTCAATGGTAAATTAACCTGCTGTTGTTATATGAATATTGTACTACTGCGCTGAACAACTGGAACAGACATTAATGCCAAATTACTAAAATTTAACTCGTTTTTTTTCTTCTCAAACATCCTGTGATTTGCTATTATCTCCCGCCCATGGTGTTATTTAAACACCAGCTCTTACACTTGGTTGTTTTCCGTTGTGCCCCCACTATTTTCATCCACTATTTTTCATCCCATCAGACACATCTGCCCGTTGCCCATTTATTCACAGCATTTTCCTCACCTACCCAAAGACAAAATTCCCATTAAACACACCCGTGAAATGAATGCATTATATCACTTTAGGCGCAGTACAGCGAAATTATCATTACGTAAGGCTATAGGACCTAAAATATGCGGATGCGTGGTTCCGCTCAAATGCTCTGCTTTTTGTGATCGGTTTGTAAAGTTGCAACTAAGATGCATCGTTGTTTATACAGATTTAGAAGTTTCCGTACTGCGCGGGTAAAGTTAAGCATCGTAGTTCAATTTAGTCTGTTTTGGTTGGACTCGGGATTTCTATGAGTTGTTCAATTCCCAAGATAGTTACTCGCATACAACTTCCTTATCAGTGAAGGATTTATCGAGTTATATCCTAGTTTTTTACAACTTATAACTGTTTGCTACAGTGCCTCATGGCTCCGTGGCACAAGCTGCTGGTTTACTGGCGCAAGTTGTTAACAGTAAGAGCTTTGACCCCGAGGAGGGTACCAAAGGAATGCGCACCGCTAACAAGCCACAATAGGGCACAACAAGTGTCTGTTGTTTTTCGGATTGGTGATTAGATTATCTAAGCTGTGAGCTCCGGTAAAATTTACCTGAATATCTCAATTGTTTTAGCTACCCTTTCGAGACCATTTATTGTACCAGTAAAGTACGAGGAAACAATAAAACAATACTTTTCTTTTAGTTAAAAGTTGAAGCCTGCCAGATATCGCAGGAAGATCATGGTGAAACTGCCAATATGGAAACATTGTAAGCAAATTTGGGCTCACACCAGTTATGTCCGTTAACGCACCTGTGCATCCATTTACAATCGCATATATCTTCGTTCACACCGATTTCCTGGGGCTGGAGAGCTCAGTGATTGTCTGCGTCCTGCTTCCATTAATTGAACAGGAAGCAAATCAGGTAATACAGGTGTTGTAATGCATCAGGCAGTGATTTAAAAACAAACAGGTAACCTGGGTGCAGAAATGACAACAGTCAGAACAGCGTTCCAAATGTGACCAATTTGAAGAGAAGTATAGTTCCTGCGGCATTCCAGCAATGTGTATTGCGTAGCAAGTTTCAGCTGGTGGCCCTACAATTTTGTTTTGCTGCTATGTTTCAGGTGTTGACATGAGTGACCGAGGTTTTACAAGATCTGGTACACCAGATTGTGGTTGACCTTAGATGGCCAGAACTTCCGCAGTACTCTACTAAACGTTTTATTCGCAGATGATATGGCAGGTGTGGCGATCGATTCACATCCATGGTTTCCCTTCGCTGTGCAGTATCCAGTGCAACCACGTCGAGTTATCACCCCGGTCGCCAACTCTGAACCGCGTTCACTACAAGGGGCCTCGCAAACGCCCTGAGCATTTGTGAGGACATAGTGGGGTAGTAAGGCCAGAATGCCTTTCAGAAAAGACCAAAGAGTTGGTCAGCCTTTTTGGACGCCTTCAAAGACTTTGCCGAATAGCAGAGGTCGTCTTGCAACACCACACCAAGAGCATGCTTCTGTGAGGCGGTTTTCAGCCTGTGGTCTCCAAACTTATTTGCCTAAGTGGGCTTGTGGAAGATGGGCACAATTCTACACTTTTCCGCGTTGCAGTGAAGTTTATTTGTCTTGCCTGTTCAAAATGGCGGTCTGATCTCTTTGCAACACATCGTGGTCGTCCTAGCAACCGATCGTCGGCCAGCAATGTGTCTTCAGTAAAAAACAGGAACTTTGACCCGACGACACGCGCGAATTCGTTGTTCAAGACCAGGAATAAGCGCAGCCCTAACATCCAGCACTGGGGGACACCGCAGTCCAAGTCGATAGGATCAAAAAGTGTATCCCTACCCCCAACCTGAAGCCACCGCTGAAGGTGGAAATTTTTGAACTATCCAATACTTTATCCTCAATTTCCTACGTATGCAACAGTTGGATGAAGATTCTGGGATCATAACAGTCGAAGGCTATAAAGAAGTCGAAGTAGTTGACTTCAATGTCCGTCCAACTGTGGCTATTTTGGTCCAACTTCTACTCGCAATCAGAAGTCTGGTTGAGTACGCCTGAGTGCAGGTCAGCTACTGCTACTCATGGCATAAAATTCTGTGAACCACGAAGAAGCCGCAGCCCGTTGTGTAATGTATTTATATTTTTATAAAGTGTTAAGTTGGCCAACTAATCAACCTACGCATGTAAATGACTGCAAAGCCCAGATAAATGAGAAGAGAATAGTAGAATGATTAATCGGTCTCTTAACGTATTTGTAAGGAAAACAAACGCTGTATTGTTTCCAGCCTTCCTATGATAACACAGGCGGAGTTTTAGCACCATTAGTTCTGACTATGTGTGCTGAAGTAAAAATCTCAAAGCTGGTCTGCGTATTATGATGTAGAATTCGAGTATTCGAGCTGTGTTGTTACGATCGGTTAATTTCACGTTCTCATTGTCCATCATGGGGCCAGCTTGGTTTCAACAATCCAAACACGGTGGTGGTGTTATGTCACAATTTTAGGCAGACTGAAATGGTGCACTGTTAACTTTTGCCCTGATGTTTCCTGTAAGCACCTTTATGCCTACGAGTATTAGTAAACGATAACGTTGAAAACTTTTACGAGCTGCCTTTAAATTGGTCGAATTAGATCTAGTCCGCAATGGGAAGTACGTGGCTCTTATCTCGTGAACAGGGCAACCAGATCCTAGCTGGTCCTGTTTAAGGACTGGAACGTGTATGCAAAGTTTACTCTTATCCAGTACAACTAAAGTGCTTTCAAATTAAATATTTTGTTGACTATGATATAGCCCGGCTCACCTTCCACTGCCACGCCGGTTACGAGCTGTGCAGAGGACAATGGCTAGTCTCACGAGCTAGGCAAAGTGGCACTAGCTGCCGGCATCCTGAGGTTATGGGGGCGGAATCCGGCAGGGTTCCGCTGGGAGGCGCACCACTGACGAGACCCAGAAGGTCGAAACGCCGGCGTTTGGTTCATTTCCAGACTAGCTTAAGCCTTTGATTGGGAGTGGCGATGATGAATTACCTGAGTTATACCAAAATCCTCAATACTCATCAGTAAATAGATTGTGGTGACTGCAATGGTTGGGCATGAGAGTAACCACCGGTATTAGTTGAATGATATTTGCAATTTCGTATTTGCTCTCTTAACAGCTTCCAAAATATATCAGTTGTTTTGTTCTTCATATCAATATGATCAAGTGACTGCAATATTTCCAAAGGTCTTGCTTGCAAGAATTTGTCGTAAAATTAATGTTGGAAGCAGTTATTCAGTAAAGATTGCCTTGCGCTTTCCAGCTCGAATAGTCACACAAATTTAAAATCAACAGAATGAGCCTAATAAACCCATGAAACTGTTTCCTGAGCTGTGCTTTGTAGTAGCTAAGCTTTAAACCCGCATTTCTCGTAAAGTTGGGTAAGCTATGAACATTGCTTACTGATTACTGGTTGAAAGCAGCAAATAGAAGTTTCTCTGTGTAGCTGCATCTAATGTCACTCAGAGCCAAAGACCCATTACATTGTAGTGCGCTCTCTATATTTTATGTGGGCAAAATATTTGTGCAGGAACTTCTTAAATTCCGACTCCAACTTTGCCCTAACTACGTTCTGCGGCAGGTTGTTCCATATGTTTACCACTTTGCGTTCGAAACAGCGTTGGTAAGCGACCCGCTTCAAATCCGGTACGACAAGCTTGTACCGGTGTCCTCATGTGTTGTTTGGTGTGCGTAGATGAAGTAGCGGCCTCAAAATATGGTAATCTCCCAAATGTAACATCCGGTGCGTCATGATGAGTTCAACCCTCAGTCGACGATAAGCTAGGGTGTACAGCCCTAGTTTCTTACACCGGTCTTCGTACGATACACTTTGTAAGTTGGGAATCAGCCTGGTGGCTACATGCTGCACTCGCTCAATCCTTTCTACCTCGCCCCGGATGATAGACAATACGCGGGACAGCCCTAATCTAGCACTAGTCGTATTATAGAGGGTAACTTTTACGTAATCACTGCTGCAAAAATTTACTAAGCTGTTTCTGCTACTTAGGTTTCTATGGTGCTACCTAAGATAAAGTTGAAAACGGGAAATGAAGTAAAAAGAACTACGTAGATAACGGAACACCCCTGTGTCACCAACTATCATGAATTAATTACACCAAATATTTGAAGTACTACAAATTGCGATTTACTTCGGATTTACGACAAAATATTATGGCAATCCTGTATATTTTTCAAATGGACATATGCGATATCGTGCAGTCTATAATTCAATAGTACATCTTTTATTTCTCGTTTAATTCTTTCAGGTTGGTGAGGAAGTTGGGCAGCTATTCTTACAAAGTGTAAAACGCTATCAGTCAGTTGAAGACAACACAATCGACAGTTTAATCGTCGGACTTATCCAACCTCAGGTAATGCTGCACTTCCCTGAAGTCTGAACCCATAGGCACTAAAATAAATCGTTTCTCACCCATTTGTTGCTGCTATTGAATACCCTCAACTTAATTTACTAACTCGAGATGTTTTGACATTCTTTTGATCGTAAGCAAGGCCACTGGATGCCGAAGGAACCACACACAATAGCCATTCGAAGCAGCGTTAGATATTTTCATTAATTGGATGCGTGTAAAAGAAAATGTATCACCCTTCAGAAGGCTGTAGAAGGGCGGAAATTATGTGTCATGCAACTTGAAAAGAAGCAATTAAACTGCTGGATAAATGAGAGTAAAAAGATGCGTTATGCCACCAAGATCGTAATTTGCCTTATTAGGATTAACTAATTTGTTGGAGTCATTAAACTGCGTGTGTCTTTTTGTAAGTAGAAAAGCTGGACAAATTTTGTGACAATTTAGATAAGATAGTAAGATTTTGTGAACTGGTTTCCTGCGCAAATGATCAATTAAAACTAACCGTGTAGGGGATTATTACTTGGCTTATTCATGACCAAAATGAGCGGTGCAGCAGAAAAGCTGTGAAACAGCTTGCAGTGGACATGGTGATATTTTAACGAAGTTTTAATTACTAGACACAAACATCACGTTAGCAAGTCATAATGTCGTTGTTTTGTGTTAACAAACTTTATAGGGAAATTTTAACTGCTGCATCCAATCGCGCTACATCGTCCCCCACAACTTACTACCTGTAACCTATTTGGCTGCCCTAGTTAAACGAACTGTAATCCACATTTTAAAGACAAGATTTAGACAAATATAAATAAATAATGCATTCAAATAAAAGTACATTCAGAGATTTAAAATTGCAATAATTTATCCGATTGTAGTGCGCTATTCAATTTACCTGCTATTTGAACTTTGAGTAGTGTCATCGTTTATGGAAATAGCGGTAAGCTTATTTGCCATTCATGAGAAAATTTGTCATTATGAACTTACCCTGTAACCATTGATGTTATCCCCTTTACCACCCAAGGGATATTGGTCTACTATTGTACGGTGATGAAGGTTGTGTTTTACCTAGTTATTTGCATTTGCTGTGATGAATGCAACGAAATATTGCTTAGGTTACGACTAATGGTCTTAGGTGGCTTCTTTCCTATGAAATCTCTTGCTTTTACTAAGCAGTGGCGGGAATGTTAGGGGTCGAACACCTATGGCCAGTTTGTAAATATCGTACTGGCTGGTTCTTGATTATTTTAATTTCAGAGATTGTCTTCTATACCCGAGACCATGTTTAACTGGCTTCTTAAGTTTAATGCCTAAGCAGCAATATTCAACGCATACGCTTTAGAATACAGTGAGACATTTGACAGGTGGTGTATATGAACTATACTTCATATATCCGCGTTAGGTAGCGCAGACCCATCAATGACTATTCTAAAAATTACCGGGGTCTAGTTACAGCATGCAGGGATTTCCCATTATTGCCGGTCGCGCACAATTTTCAGGTATATTTACTGTAATTTAAGAAATATGAAGGCATTAGCACAGGCAATGCACAGTTATAGTACGGAGCAACCTGGTTAATAATTGTGGAAATAAATAGATGACCAGAATCGGTGCATACCTTGAGCGCGAAAGCAGTATTTGTGCTTGCGCAGTCGATGAAAAGTTCCTGACCGCAGCAGGTTTCTTATAGTTACTGTAAAACAAGTGAACACTGCAATCATTTTTTTTAATTTCCGCGGCATTTACCTATCGAGTACACCTGACTAAATACTAGGGGCTAAAAAAGGAACTGAAATATGAAAAGGCTCGATTGGTTATCCGAGCTGATCAGCTTGCTTACAGAAGTTTCGCAGCTGATCAATGTAGCAATTTCAACGTGTATTGGTAAGTAACTTGATAGCAGATAGAGAGAAAAATGCCGGGGGTTACGGAGCTGCCGATTTTATAGGTTTCCAAACCTCGCGGCCACAGTTCATTTCTGGGCAGTTACATACATAAATGATGTCGGTGGGCTGGTGGGAAGGTTGCTGCTCATTTGAACGGCTGCTTGTAATCTCATTGATATAATAGCTATGTTACCTATAAACCGCGGCTAGAAAGACTGTTCGGTTCTTTGTTCGGTTACCGATCTGTATCCGTTCAACTCTCAGTTTCCAATCCGTCTCATCGATTCATCCCATGACTTACCGGGAAAAGTCTGCAGTAAAACTCCTTAACTGAGGTAGCCAATGCACATTTTAGTTGACAGTCCTACGTATAAAGTTTCTGAGTTAACTTGAGCAGAGTGTACTGCTGAAGTGTACTGGCCCTGTAACCCATTCCAAAATTTACTATTCTGATATGACAACTAAGGTTTGCAATATTTTAGTAACATTGAGAAGGTAGTTTTAAACACCATAGCCATTCGCAAAATGCGTATGGTAGGTCCTGATATTTTTATCTAGTCTCGATCGTCTTACTGCAGGAGCAGATGGTTCTCATGCAGGTGTGGTGTAGTATACGGATAAGGACTAATGAGATGAATTAAGTTATTTGTGATGCACCTGAGGGCTTATTGCTAACCTCGACAAGCAAGTAAACACCTAATTATTTTAAGGCTTCTATTTTGCGGCCGCTATTAACGCGGTCGTTAATTTACTTTCTTTTCTTACCTGTATGCTTGGCAGCTGTGAGGTGTTGATCACTTTCAGCGCATGTAACTAAGGCATCTGTAGCACTTCTTAAGCTATACGCTTTTTCTGTGATCTGTTTATAAAATGTATCTCAGGTTGTTCCTAGAACGGCCCTACAGCGGTCAGATAAAATGTGCACTGCTGACGACTCATGAAATCATGAAACCAGCCTTCGAGGTTTTCGAGCATGTAACAAGTATCAAAACGTTAACCAAATTGTTACCGCCCAACCGATATAAAAACTAATCGTTGACTGAGGTATTACGGATCTTCCAAAAGATGTACTAACAGGGAAAACCGTGGTTTCCCATGCCCGTGTACATACACGCAAATATTCGTACATTCGTCTGGTCGATTTTACTGATATGCACGTGTATACACGCAACTGCCTGTGGTGGAGGTTTCTTGTATAATTATGTTAGATACCTTCATATTTGCGATAATCGAAATGGCTAGATACAGTGTCCTTAGCAACTTCTGACCATGAAATACTGCTGTGCGGAACTAGATGACTCATTGACTTGACAGTTAATTTGTGGTCCATAGTCTACACAGATGAACCTCTAGAATAAAGATGGTGTAGACGTGTTTAAAGAAATATAGAAATTTAAAACATTATGTTAATGCATGGTAGTCAAGCTCACAGAATAACATATTTTTACTTTGGGATGGAGTGAGAAGCATGCCAGATTGTAGTGAAAACAATAAGGATCACTTAGTTACGTTGACGAATAGATTACCGTCATCTGGCTGCCTTATAAAGTGGCATTTAACAGTGTCTGATTTACAAGTTCATTTTATACATTCATGGCTTGAATGCAAAATCTTTGTGCGTTATGAGTTAAAAGGAGAGAAACAATGCTGTAACTCCATCTTTGGAATGTCCGAGTAGGGAAAACAGAAAAATTTTGAGGTAGGAAACTTTTTATGTTTACGCGGTTTTAACTAAAAGCTTGAATTATCACTTTCAATGCTTGGATTACGGCACAATTTTCCCATCTCGGTCGAAAGCTGTACAGTGCTCCTTAGGTGATGGATGACTGCACATAACCTGTTGCGGCGTCAGCGCTGAGCCCTGTCACCGCATACAGTCTTGTACCTCCCCGGCCATTATCTTTCAGTGTGACTCATGCGGAACTGCAGGAAGAAACGACCGCCTATATACTAATTTTTGGTTGCTCTCCCCATATTCTTGTCCACCTTCGACTATGACCCATTAGAACGATGGTCATTACTCTCCTGATTATCCCTCGGACGTTGATACATCGAGAAGGCGGAGTCGATTCTTCTGCGGTTCATCGACAACATATTCAAAGATTGATGGACCGAGCCGCTTGACAAAATCGATATCATTTGCAGTTGTACCTGCGCACTGCCGGTCGACATTTATCTCTGCGCCCTCTCCAGAACTGGGTTGAGCCCACAGCCGACATCTCACTGTTCTCTCGTCAGAAGTGATTAGGTTTGTTGCACCGTGCGTTACCCATAGCGTGAAGTCGTATGCTTCCGTAGTAACTGCATCCGCAACCTAGACGTCTACCAATACCACTGATGTCGTACATGCTGAGACATCACAGGCAGCGGCGAAATCATACTCTAAGTCTAAGCCTAATTAGATGAATTCTAAGCTGAAGTTCATTATTTATTTGGTTAACTAGCTTGGGGAATTGATCAATCAAAACCCGAGCCCTCAAGGACTGCACCACTCGGACGGAAGCACTTATACTTGTGATGGGTGTTTAACTGTTATGAATGTATCTGAGTCCAATAAGGAATATCCAGTTGAAAGGATTCAGGAAGATCGGGCCGTCCTTAAACGTGTGTTCTGTTATGCTTAGTGATGGCGAAGCAAGGAATCAACATCGTTTCCGCTTTTCGCCTCGGTCGAAAGCAGGATGAAACACCCAAATCTTGTACAGTAAAATTCGTCTGTCAAGATGAGGACAACTTTCTCCGCATCCTACGAGAAACTTTTTGGCTAAAAGGGGAGGTGGTTTTGTCTTCAGAGACCTCTCTCCAGCGGAGAGGGTGAAAAAGAAAACGCGATTGCTGCAATGCTGGCTCGTAAAGTGACTGGTGAATCAATGCTCTATATCTTAGATTTTCGAATAGGCCAGAGAGCCTTGAGAGCCCGATGGAAGCCGATACTTTTCACTGCCGGACATTGAGATCAAAGAAGGGATTACGTGTTGTATGTGCGCATGTGCGTGGTTTGAGAAATAAACTAGACGAGATTCAGCTTTTTCGGCAGTACGATGCCCTGATCTGTTGGCGCTCACTGAGACTTAGCTTACCTCGAACATTATGGACTCCACGATCTCCATTCCAGGCTACCATACTTCCCGAGGTGATAGTTCTGGAGGGCGAGTTGACAAAAGGTATTATTCAGAACTGAAAGCTGGATCTTTGTGTTCATATTTTTGCAGCTTTATGTGCCCGAGACGGGGAAGATGAGCTGTTATGTTGCTGCGACCACGATGGTTATAGATTGATTATAGTTGGTATTATATACAGGATTCCATCGGGTACTGGTACTGACTTGTTGGAAGCTATCAGCAAGTGTGGAAGCAAAATAGACTGGCTGCTCATGGGTGACTTCAGTGCTCCCATAATCGATTGGGTAAACGTTCACTTTGGACTCACTATTGAACCTTTTCACTACGCTTTCCTCGGATCCGTCCTGGAAATTAACCTGACTGAGTAAAGCACATCTCATAAGCGAATTTTCCCAGGTCAGACTCGCTATATCCTTGTCGTAGTGCTTACACCAGCGTCCGCCGATGTCACTGGCTTACCTGTCCACCATACGCCGGGAAAAAGTGACTACTGTGTTGTCTCTTTCTCGTAGGCATAGAGTGTCACTTTTTATGGCCAAGAAGTGCACTCTCAAGATTTTTAACTTGCCGATCCAGTATGCATAAAAGCTGCTGCAAAGGTAGTCGACTGAAGCATCCATGAACACCTAGATTTGGAGGATGCATGGATGTATATCCGCACCAAGTCAACCATGCTCATTGATCAGCTTGTCCAAGTCTCCGGAAGAAGACATGTTTCGAGGGGTCCCCTTGTATTTATTTGAACTGCGATCTTTCTTGAAAAAGGACGGTGGCTATAAGATAAATTCAATATCGTACAATCGACTTATACCCATTCCAATTAAAAAGCCTTCAAGAACCGTTGCACAGCAAAAGTACGAGAAGCGCCAGAAGCATGAGTGCGATTTGACTGCACAATCTTCAGCATGTTCAAGCAACACTTTTTGTGCCTGAAACGGACTACCAAAGCTGACAATTCTATACCCACCTTGTTTGCCTCTCGGGATGCGGATGTATTTCAAGATGACGATTTACTTGCTAAACGGTAATCCACCGTCCATACTATAGAGGCCCTACTGACTTATTCTATTGTGTATCCGTATCCCTTTTCTTTCGGGTTTGTTAAGAGAAACGCCGACATGGTATTGCGGCATCTCATTGCATTGGATACTAAATCGTCGTCCGGTCAAGATTATCTGCATCTCCTGTTTCTCAAGACCGTCGCCGAGCAATTTGCACCCATATAAGTCATATTTTTCGGCTCTTTTTGGCATCTGGTCTCTTTGCATCTAATTGATTTGTTGGTATCATTAAGCTACCTTAAACGGCGGGCACCGGCAAGACCCATCTAACTACCGCCCGATTTGCCTGACGTAATTTACTTGCAAAGTCATGGAGAGGCTTCTGAAATGTTCTCTACAACGTCAGCTTGATTCCACGAATATGATTTCGCCTGCTTAGCATAGGTTGTAGAGAGCTCACTCTTGCGTTTCCAATCTGTTTGTCGCCAGAGATAGATAGGTGAAAGCCTTAGATTTTGGTAGTTTGGACGTTATATTCGTCGACTTCAGTAAAATGTATGATAATATACCGTATGAACGGCTCCTCCTTAAGCTCCAAGCTGTTGGTGTCACGTGGGATGTCCTCACTTGAAGCTCGGATTTCCTGCGTGGACATTTAACGAGAGTCTAATTGAATGAAGCTTTTTTCCTGTCTTTCTTGATGACTAGTGGTGTGCTACAGGGTTCGGTCCTTGATCCTCAATTGTTTGAAATCTTCATCAAGGTCCTTCCCTCTTTGCTTCAACTGAACGGTCTACTCTATGCTGATGACCTGAAACCATGGTTAGGAGTTTCGGGCCTCGATGCTGCCGACAGATTACAAGCAGCACTTGACATCCTTAATGATTGTCCCTTACCTGAGATTTGCCCATTAACCGTAACAAGTGTTACCTCCTCTGAATAGGCGCCCCCTGAACCCTGCGACACATATTATGTTAGCGGTTGTCTACTCACGAACGCCACTTTAGAGAATTGTCTAGGCACTATTGTGTATCCCGATTTTAAGATAATCTAGAATATTTTGAGGAAAATTTGTGCAGCCAACAGGAGGTTCGGCGCTACAGGTTGATATTTCTATTGTTCCTGGAGACCATCAACCTACTGTTTGTCTCGCTCGCGAGGCCTAAAATTCAGTATGGATTGCCGGCTGTTAAATCTTCCCTCGAGGTTTGAATGCAACCTTCTAAAAAGAATACAGAGGCGTGATATGCCCCACAAGGTTCATCAAAGACAGTTGAATCTGTTCTCTTTACATTTTTTTCGTCGCCGGGGAGACCTCATTTACAACACCCTTATTCTAAGGAGAGAATTGGTGACCGAGTTGCAACTCTTCTCCCGGTTGAACACTGAATGCTCGAAGTGGGGACACAATTGGAAGCTGTTTAAGCCCAGGAGCTTCCGAATCCATCGGAAGGTTACTTGGGTGGCGAACAACTGGAACACCCTGCCAAAGCCTGTTGTCAACGCGTCCAGTGAGAAAAGTTTTAACAGGCTCTTAGACCGCCATTTGTTGCATATGCTGGGGTCGTCTTGCTATCGTTGCAGCTGTAACAGTACATTGTGAATGCCAGTTCTCATTGTCACGCATCGTCTCTGCTCTGACAGAAATGCCATGAAACAGACAATAGTTCTATTTTCTGCTTTCCACAATTCAGCGGTTTAATGGTTTAATGTAGATGTGCCGAATTATAAAATTTTGGCGTCTGTTAACGGAGCACTTTGGCGCAGCGATAATGTTTCCATAGGGAAACTGCCGGTACAAGTGTTATAATCCCATCCTTAGCCATCTGCTGGTAAGCATTTAGAACAGGAAGGAACTATTGATGTCATACAACATTACAGGATTCAAAGCGGAGGTATCTCGACTTCGGAATGCTGTGGATTCATCCCAAAATACGCCGAAACATATACTAAGCTATCATAAAAATATCCAGGTAGAAAATAGCAAACGAAATTCCAGAGCTGCGTTGTAGTTGTTAAACGGCGGCAGCTGCTAGGGTTAACAAATGAGGGAAGAAGAGATGGCTGTCCTGTGTAATTAAAAGCGATGCCAGCTCTGTCCATCACATTACTTTGCCTTCGAGTGGAACGACTGTTGTTTATATCGTTGGATGATACACAAAAGAAAAGGATTGAAACGTTTTCCGAAACAGCTTTTTGCATTTTCTTTGGTACAGGTTGCTTACCAGATTTAATTTATCCATCCCTTGAAAACTTAAGTAGTATTTTACAGCAAGGGCAATATAGTTTAAAAGTGCTTCTGTTAACTCTGCGCAACCTGCAACTCTTTGAGTAACCCGGTGCAATTGCACGCAAGCTTAGCTTGGTTTCCACGTTTTGTGGTCAAATCTTCAATTGCATTCCATATTGGGCGTGTGTTGTCAAGCGCACTTTTTAACTACTCAGCTACAGTGCTGCGGATTCATCGGTCCCGAAGACTTTGAAAGTATGAAACCAGTTGACACATATGGCAAAATAACATTTACGAGTAAGTGAGCCCAAATATTTCCCTTTTAATCATTGCAGTGATTGGCCATGTGTTTCTTGGTTTTTTATCATGCCGGTTGGGAACGCGTTGGACCAAGTCCTACTATGAAAGTTGCCCTTATTTTCACTCCATCAGTGTTGCCACGTTTTGTGAAGATTGATAAAACTACAGCAGAAAAGTAACTTAATTTAACTGGCAATAAACATCGCATGCCATGCGTTATTTTCAAATTGACGGATGGAATGCAGAGGGCATATATATATATATATATATAGTTTCGTTTATTTGACTTAGCTATCATTACTAACTGCTTAGGCCCTTAACAAACTCTGCTTTATAAAGACCTAACAAAATAGGTGGATAAATCATCCGAGAATTTTTCCAGCAATACCGCTCTTCGTAATAACACATTCCATGTTACGGCTGGTGAAAACTTAATCGAGCTGCATGATCTTGTCCTTCTTAACAATCGGTGGACAAAACTTTACAGCTAACGCTATTTGATTGAATTCTTCTTGAGTCAGACCAGCGATCAATAAATTATAGAGCGCGGATAAAAGGCCTGCAAATACTTTGATTTCAAAGTAATTTACACTTGATGAAGGGTATCGAGTTTCAGGACGGCATAAGTAATTGTGAAAAATAATTAATCCAAAAGAATTCGACATGTTTCGCAAGAGCTGAGAATAAATTGTACTATCAGACGCCGGTAATGTAGTTCATTTTGGATAAAGACACTATGGTAGGAATTAACAAATACCATACCCCCTGAGCAGTCAATTGTTATTTAAACATTGATTGTGCATAGTTTGATCCATTATGAGAGCAAAACTGAATGCACGCATTAATTAATAACTGCATTGAAGAGTCATCTTAGGGTGACATGAAATGTGACATATGCAACATGCACGAGTTCCCTGAATATCTTCGTAATTATAACAATATTTACTGCCAGCTTATTTGGACTACATTACTGGCAGTGTATAAATAATAAACATAGTGTAGTATTTGAAATGCCGGTGGCGGATGAATAAAGCTCTATATGCTAAGCTATTTCTCCGGGCAACATATTATGATGTTTAATTATATTGTCGCTCATAAGTAGTTAGTTTTGGCGTTTAGATACTCATAAAAATAACTGAAAAAACTCTTCAGTTCAACAACGACGATATCGAAAGAGCTGGACAAGTTGTCACACACACACAATCATTTAATGGGTGCTGGCACGCAAAGCATTATACCTTATGCTTTAGCACAAGTCACCACTCAGTTAGCAGAATTATCGTGATTCCTATTCACAAAGTGTAAGAATGATGAGCGTTTACTTAAGACTTCCGTATCACAGCGCACTCAAAGCAAAATCATACGTGATATATTGATGATGGAATTATCAAGATGTAGGATATCCGCGCAATCGAGACAGATGAAAGTAAGTACACTTTAAACAAATAACAGACATCCAAGGAATATTTATTTGCGATGGAATTATGCTAAACCAATGGAGGCAGTGCCGACATTCCGTAGCGCTGCTCTAATGGTTGGTTCATTGAATTATGCATCCATTTGGGTTAATGCAGACGCTACGACGATTTGTGCAAACCTGCGAGAGATTGGCGCAAATCAGCAATGCGATTTTCCACTGTACATGCACGCAAACCACCATCTTGCTTAGGAAGTTGATAAAGCGTGGTCCAATCATGACTGTGACGGAGTGCACTGACCAACCTGTTGATTTTCTATCATGCGCTAGTCGGAGCAATACTGTTCCTGTTTCTGTATGGGGCATGTTTGTCGAGTTACACGGCAAAGTCATGGTTTCATACCCTCATGGAAAGCATCCGCTGCTATTCCCGTGCCTCATATATGTCATCTTGTATCCAACTAATGCTATCTCAACAGTGAGGCGAATACTTTCCGGTCATTTATGTGATTTGACTAGTTGTATGGAAGGCAACAATAAGCTTTAATCACTGCTTAGTGGACATGATGTTTCAGGGCATAACGTTTTGAACATCCGCCGGCTACCTATCCTTAATATTAAGTATATGCAGTATTCTTAGTGATTCGCACTATCAGCGCGTAGCTAACGGGCTTTAGTAAGTAGTTGAAGCCATCTAACTTTAAGCAAGATCAGTTAGTAAGTAATTTTAGATAGAACTAGAGTACAGAAAGTAGCAAACAAACAGGAACTGAATTCACACACACAATCGATGCACGGCAAATTCTCCTGTGTCAGTCGAATGGATTGTGGCTAACACATACTCGGTAGCTCTCAGACAATCCCACTACTCAGACAGTCACATGTTGCAGGGGCACTGCGCTAACGATCCAGTTATCTGACGCAGTTCAGCCCGGGTAAGCAGCTGTCCTGAATTTTGGGCAACTCTTGCATCTACTCGCTGCAGCTGCGCGATGACTTTGAGTGACTGGCTCGCAAGCCCCCGGTCCACCAGTAGCCGGCCTAGGCCACATCAAGTGTGTTGGTGGACATTTTCTGCACCATGCTGGCCTACTTAGGGAAGGCAGTCAAGCCTGGTTTAGACGGTTGCAGTGTTCAAGCTTTGGACCGTTCCGTTTGTCAGCCTCGTCCGTGGCCGCCTGCTTATATTGTCCACTGAGTGTAGTAAAACAGCTTTCGTCCATAAGTGGTGGCACCTACACTTATTCTACTATGCAATCCGGACTAAGTTAGGAATCATAGTTACTAGGCAGGGGCTGACCGAAGTAGTCCCGATCCGCGCACGAAGATTTCATCCTTGCACGAAACTGTCGGACACAGATTCAGGGCGGTGTTTCTGCTACAAGCTTGGAGACTGTGCTTACAACCTCAGCTGTGGTTGTACAACCATAACTTCAACTACAACCACGTGCAAAGCATTTATAATTTTGAAACAATTAATAGTTCCTTCACAATACATGCTGCATGGTACAAACTTCTCAGATAGCTTAATCCAGGTATGCTAACTTAGTTAAATATCATACAATGTTAAGTTCCTCTTTTAATACTACATCCAATAAGTTTCAGTTATCTGAGGTCCTGTTTCTCGACGTTTTTGCGCGCCGCTTGCCACGCATATTTTCTCTGTCGAATCTTTCCGAGATTCCGCTTGTTTCACTTTGCGCATCTCCGACACTACAAAAGGCATTCAGTGACTACCTCTCCTGTTGATTATCTAGTCAGTCCTTTGAAAACGGAGGGCGTGATTACCAGTCTTGACTAAGACTAATAGTATTTCGAGCAAGGTAAGCTGAACTACACAACGAACGACGGCCAGTGTCAAAAGAGCAAGAAAGAACAACAAATCGACAGGATAACCTGAGTTAAGCAATTTCGCGCGTTTTCGTCAGCCGTTTACTTATACTTAGCGGATTAAATAAGCTGCATACAGAGATCTTCATGGTGTAATATACACCACATGCATTCATATAGCCGTTATTAGAATGACATTTTGAATGAATGAACGACTTTTTGCTGATCAAGCACAACAGCTACTTTTGGTGCTAAGCAACTCTTACCCCACAATTGAATTAACCGGTAGGAAAGAATTTTATAACGCCTTCCAATTTTAGATGTTTGCTTAAAAGACACCTAAATAGTACACTGCCCTATGTTTGACATTTGGTGTTCTGTGAATTCCAAACGACATCCGGTTCGGACCATCTTTGAGATAGTTAGTCGGTTATGCTCAGAGGAAGCGATTGCATTTGAGCTGCAACACGTCTCCTTTACGGGATGCAAAAGTGGACGTCCGGAGAAGTTCCTAGCAAAGCATCCAAACGGAAACGCGAAACCGGAAACGAATGAGTGTCCGACGCCCCTAGGAAAACGGTTAATAACGATACCATTAAAAGGAGACTTAACTAACAGGAGTTTCAGATATCGCTACCGTCAGTAGATAACATTGGTAGTACGCTGCTGAGCATGTGGTTTGCCACGAAGTTAGGAAGTTGCTGTTTAAATACATGCTGGACATGACAGACACTTGTGCTTCACCATACGCGCTGCCTGCGTATTGTGCTGTTGCGAGCACCGTAAATGCATTGTAAACATGCATTGTAGAGTCAATATCGTCACCGTAACATGCTTCAGAATCTCGCTGATTTCTGCTGACAACATGTATCGGTATAGTTCGCACTTCGGCAACAATGTATGTTACTACGTGCAAAAATTGCTGCTTGCTCGGCTGCCTGTACTAGTTGTCCATGTCAGGGTCAGCGTGCGTGGATCTCGTTGTAACGTCTTCACAACAAACTGCAAGGATGTCGGTAACTTGAAGAGAAGCATTTGGTTGATTTCCGTATTTACCTGAATTACCCAGGTGAACTTCGTCCGCCACCGCTATTTATTGGCCCTGCCATGTTGCTTTTAACGATTATGTGGCATTTAACAATACGAAGTTTTTATAGCAAAATGATGTGTTTCGTCCTCGGGTGATGTGATTGACGAAACCTTGAGGCTAGCAAAAAAGTCACTGGATGTAATGGAGAGGTTCCACCTGCCTAGGTAATCAGTTAAACAGTCCATTTTGTGAGCCGCTTGTGACCTCCAGACTGGTGTGGATCAAGAAACTGAAGTACCAGTGTCCAATTTATACTTTGTTATTTGTATTCTAGCAGTAGACCACTACGCTCGGCACTGCCAGAATTTATTTAAACAGGCGTTTTTATTATCACGACTTGCAGTGTTTGGACAGTAGTACATTTAGCAATACGTCACGACGTTTTTCAAATTCCGTCCCGGTCACATCGCCCATTATTTGAAGAATTACGCGACAGCTGCCGTGCTAGCTATGTGAGAGTAAGAAGTCACTTTTATTCTGCTTCTCTTTAGATCATCCGGAATGCAACGAAAATGAGCAGGCACAGGAGGTATAGGATCAGCAGGGTTATCGGAGTACATTTTCATGTCTTCGATTTTACTCTTCACTTAAACGGCCACAGTGTTATTAGGAGACAAGGTGTTGGAACGCGCTCGTGTGGCTGACATCATAGGGTTGTAC